CCCACCCTCACGTCCCCACCATTGCTCCCAGTCCCCTCTGTGCCCTGGGGACCCACCTCTGCCCCTTCACTCTCTGCCCTCCCCCTCCTCCCCCTTTACCCTCTCCTGGCCCTTCCCTCCATCCTGGTCCCTTGTCCCTCTCTCTGTCCCACCCCCACTCCTCCTGTGCCTTCGCAGTGCCCCCATTCCCAGCTGTCCCCTGGGAATCTCTCCCTGGGGGTGTTTCCAGCTGCTCTCTGGGGCAGGTGGCACTGGTAGCTCCCATGGGCTCACCCCTGGCACGGAGCTCCGGGATCACCCGGAGTGCCAGGAGTGCCAGTGGGGCTGGGGACACCCCTGTGTCACCGTGTCCTGTGCCTGGCACTGCTTGGCTTGGCTCCAGGCTGGACACCCCCTGGAAGCTGCCTCTCCCCCGTATCCTAAAGCTTTCCTGGCTGCTCAGAGTGAGCCCCCGTCACTGCCCTGGGGTGGGGACAGCAGAGGTGACATTTCCTGCTGGGTTTGGGGACAGTGGCCTTCCCCTGCTGCTTATCAGGGTGACCTGACAGGACCCTGTGCTCGGAGTTCTCTGGCTTGTGCTGGCTCAGGAAAGCACTGACACGCTGCTCTGGCCTTCCTCCCTCATCCCTGCTGCTGGAATATTCGCTGGAGAGAGAAGGGAGTGTCCTTCAGTGGGGCTTTGTCCCTCCCTGTCCCCTGAGGGAGCAGGGAAGAGGCAGGTGGACAATTCAGGAATTCCCCTTTTCCCACATTCCACCATCCTTTCAGCCTCATCATTCCAGGTAACATGAACCTCCTGCCCTCAATGGCCTCACTCACCTTCCATTTCCATTTGGAGTCTCTATCCCAGGATGTGGCTGCTCCTGGATTGGGGGAGACACCTCTGAGAGGGTTCAAATGCCTTTGCTTTCCAAACACTTCCTTCACTGGAATGATGGGAATGATCTGTGACACCCAACCTGGAGCTTAACAACCCCTCAGGACACTGAGGTGCCTGGAGAGCAGGATAAACATTTGGGAAACATCACAGTTCTGTGGAAAATCGAGGCTGATCACTGTTGGTGTGGAATCTGTTGGTGAAGGAGCTTGTGACAAAACAGGGAGGTTGAGGGGTTTTCCTTCTCCCTGCTGAAAACAGGGACAGGAGGAGAGGAAATGGCCTCAGGTTGCACCAGGGGAGGTTCAGGTGGGATACTGGGAAAATGTCTCCATGGAAAGGGCTGCCCAGGACAGGGTGGAGTCCCCATCCATCCCTGGAAGGGTTCAGAAAACCTGTGGATGTGGCCCCTGGGAACATGGATCTGTGGTGACCACGGCAGTGCTGGGCCAACTCGGTGACCTCAGAGGGCTTTTCCAGCCTCAAGGATTCCATGATTCCATGAAGTCCAGGTTGCTCCAGCACCAGCAGCACTGTGGGGTGCCTGTTCCCAGAGGGACTGCTCTGGCTTTGTGCTGCTCCTGTGCTGGGAACACCATCCCAGGCACTGCTCCTGATCCACCCAAACAGCTGCATCCAGTTGGTTTGTCTGGGAAGCTACTCACTCCCAGTTCAATCTTCGTGCAGACAACTCCTGTAAATCAGAATGTCTGCATTTCCACCTCCTGTAAACCCAAAGGTCTGCATTTCCACCTCCTGTAAACCCAAGTGTCTGCATTTCCATCTCCTGTAAACCCAAA